ACGCTGTTGATAGATCAGTTTGTACATTTTTTAGCGTGCGCAGTGAATTAGCTCACGTTTTTATACACGCAAACCTTTGATAGATCCGGCCCTCAGTGTTTTGTATATTTGTTTAAATGATTGACTTTCGTTAATTAGATTCAATGTTTTTCAGGGTGAAAAGAATCTCATCAGATTTTGACAACTTGATCTCAGACAGTTTTGAGATCAGATCAGAGCTTCCTGCCGTCTACCAGCTGAGAACAAAGAAAGAGACGTTTGGGACTCTGACCAGAGTCATTTATGGCCAGAAAGATGAGAAGAAGCCAAACAGAACCATCTTACTTGTTGGTGAAACAGGAACAGGAAAGTCTACTCTGATCAACGCTCTGCTCAACTACGCCATGGGGGTGAAGTTTGAGGATGAAGTCTGGTTTCAGATTGTAGAAGAAGAGAAGAGAAGTCAGACAGAGAGCCAAACCTCAGATGTGATCGTCTATCAGATCTTTGAAGGTCAAAATCTGCCGTTCTCTCTGACAATCATAGATACTCCTGGCTTTGGAGACACCAGAGGGATTGAACATGATTTAAATATCAGTCAGAGATTGTTAGACTTGTTCCGATCAGAGGATGGAGTTCAGGAGATTCATGCAGTTGGTTTGGTGATAAAGGCAACTGAGAACCGACTGAGTGACCATCTGAAGTACATCTTTGACTCAGTGATGGATCTGTTTGGAAAAGACATAGAGAAAAATATTGTAGCTCTGGTCACTCACTCAGATGGAACAACACCTTTAAATGCTCTAAAAGCTCTTAAAGGTGCAGATATTAAATGTGCCAAAGATGGAAAAAATCAGCCTGTTCACTTTCTGTTTAACAATCTACAGAAGACAGAAAGAAACACAGCAGAGAAAACTAATCCTTTGAAGCATTCCTGGGATTTTACTGAAGAACAAATACAAAACTTAAACGCCTACTTAGACACATCCCAACCTCAGAAACTAGCGACAACTGTAGCGGTTCTGAATGAGAGGATCAGACTGACCGCCTGCATCCAGAACCTGAAGGAGAAAATTGACCTGAGTGAACTGAAACAGAAAGAGATTAAACAGATCCAAGAAGCTCTAAAGAACAATGAAAAAGAGATGAAAAATAATGAGAACTTTACTATAGAGGTTGATGAGGCCTATATTGACAAAGAACCAATTAGTGGTGGGATGAGGGGGTTGGTGTTTTATGAAGCAGCTGTCTGTTGCACTCGATGTGAAGAGAACTGCCACTACCCTGGATGTACGATGGCTTGGTATCCTCAGCACTGTGAGGTCATGAAAGAAGGTCGCTGCACAGTTTGTACCAGAAAATGTCCTGCATCAGATCATGTAAAAGAGAAATGGAAGTATGTGACCAAAACCAGGAAAGTTCAGAAGACTCTGGAAGACATGAAAGAGAAGTATGAAAACAATAAAGCTGAATGCGAGAACAAGCGAAGCCTTTTGGAAAACCTTGAAGAAGAATCCAGGAAGCTGTCTGAAGAAAGAGCAGAATATCTGAATGAAGCATATCAACATGTCGTCAAACTGGATCAGATAGCCCTCAATGTTGTATCACGTTCCACTTTTGTCCACCTGGACTTTCTGATTGAGAAGATGGAGGAGAAAGGAGACACCAAGAAGGCTAAGAAGCTGAGGGATATGAAAAAGGCTGTGGATGAAAAGAAAACAAGTTCAGTGCAACGTTGCATTCAATTCTTCTCGTCTTTGGGGGGGAAGTGAGAGACAGCTTGAGAATAAAAATTATAATCATCCCCTGCTTCTGAAAATGCTTCAGTTCATATATTAATAATATATTGAGATATGAAATGTTTATTATTATCATCACACTTTAAATAATAAAAAAATTTAATATTTTAAGTTTGTTTCTATGTGCCTTTACTTTAGAAAAACATTAAATTAATTATCTCAGCTTCTATAAAAAGCTGCAGGATTCAGTCTGTTGGATTAAAATGTTGTTATTCAAAAATAATGATGTTCTTTTAACAAGTAAAACTATGAAGATTTAAATCTAACAGAGGGGTTGTGTCTTTAAAATTAAACAGTGTAAATATTACTATAAATGTTCATTCTTCCTCCTGATACTTTACAATTGTTCTGATCTCTGGTATTTTTTCAGCTCATGTTTAAACATTAAAGAAATTAAATCAGATGTTTTTAAATTTGATAAACTAGAAAATTATGTAGAACCTGTCATGTTTCATAGAACAGAATATCTATTATAATCTGCATTATCTTTTACATCTTTCTCAGTTCAACATTCTTTACTTTGTAAATTAGATTTTTTTCTTTGTCAATAAAGTCTCTGCTTTGTGAAACCAGTTTTGCTCCTGATATCTTTACTCGACCATCAGCTGAACTGATGAACTTCATTCAACAACTTTTAGATTAAACCTGATAATAGCAGGATGATCATGGTGCTGTCAGCATCATCAGGGATGGACAGTCCTTTATCTCCCCACAGAAGAAATATAAACAAATAACTAAAATCATGAACAATAATATGGAAAAGGAGTTAAAAAATATTTGTTCAAGAACAGAATGTGGTTAAAACATGGCGGCATACTGACAGAGATGCAGGTTAGACTGAGGTAGAGAAGATTATTTTTGTTGATGGGTTTTATGTATTAATTTTATATTTTCCATAAGCTCGGGTTTGGAGATGGATCTATACTGAACCAGATTGGTCCCATCATTACTGAATCATGATAGATCTTTAATAATCATGTTTTATAAACAGTAGATTATTGCAAACATTGGAGCCGTGCTGATAAAGAGACTTCAACTGTTATATCAGGGAGGTTTGACCCCAAGTTTGACACACTGGTGAGAAAAGAATCAAGTAAATAAGATAATCCAAAAAAGAAAATTGTCTTTGTGACTAATCTTGCTATTTAATACCAGTTTGCATGTTAGGACATCTCTGATCTGTGTTAAAATTGGGACCGTTTTTGATCCGGAAAACCTTTTATAATAAACATTAAGGTTGCTCCTTAAAGAGATATCCTTAAATTATTACAGTTTTTCAAAATTACTTTATAAACAAATAGAAAACTAGAAATAGACTACAATTTGAGGTATTTTATTTTTCACATGTTTAGTAACGAGCAACATTCTCCACCCGTTTAGATGTAAGGGTTTCGGCTCTCATTCATAAAGAATTACATTGAAAACACATTAAAATGTACTTAAACCCAACATCCAAACTATAGACGACAATGCTGATCTATTAGTCACACTTAAAAAAAAAAAAGATTAGAATGTCATGATCGGTTTAAGGAATCTGACCCACATGCAGAGAAACCACTCAGAGAACACAGAGAAAAGTTTAACAGGTTTATTTGTAGCAATATGAACAGAGGTTGGATCTGGAAATGAGTGAACTGGTGAACTTGAACTGGAAAGTCTGCAGGGGAGATCACAGAGATAAGTTCAGGGACCATGGGAAATGAGACTAAGGTTTAAATTAAGCTGGAATGGGACTCACGTTTGAGGGGGCTCTTGTCAACCCTTGAATCCAGTCTGTGTGGGATTATCCAGAGAAGAAGGAACTCATTGGAGAGCGGACAGGTAGACATACATTGGACCTGGAGGAGTAATGGAGTAAACTGTCACTTGGATTTCCAATAGGAACTTGAATGGATCATGTGGAGGTTTTCCCCTGCTCAGTGTGAACTCAGTAAATTCTTCCAGAGGGAGAAGGTCCAGGTATCCAGTTATACAGGAAGACTTTCTGCAGATGAGCAAAGACAAAACGAGGACAGGGCACCACCTGGTGGTGGAGGGAGAAGAAACACACAAACTGGATTCCTAACAAATTACAGATCACAGCTGTGCCTCAGTTTGCACCAGAGGCTCCTCCTCATGTTCGGCCCTCTTCAAGCCTACATTCAATGTCACTGTGTATTTAAATGAGTCATATTATTTAAATGTTATGTAACAGTTACCAATGGCAACCACAGCCAAATGAGGGCAAAAGAAGAGGAGTCTAATTGAGGGGTTGGTGATTGAGGTCAGATAAAAGAAGCTTAAAAAAAATTTCAACCTGGAAGACTCTAATCAGCCTCACCTGAACCACCTGCTGATCTGCCTCGTTGAAGCTTCAGCCAATCAACTTTAGGACCACACCCCCTCTTTAGCCAATCATCTTTCAACATCCCTTTCATTTAGCCACTAGCTCAGCTTCCCTCCTGCCCACCAGACAAACTTTCACCCACCTCTGCCCATCTCCATCCTCACGCTAAGGCTAATCTCAGTCTAACTCATCCTCTGGCNACTGAATTAAAGCAGAGAGATATAAACATGATAGATGAAGCCCTAAAGAAACACAAAGAACAGAATAAATCTGAACAGTTTACAGCAGAGGTAACAAAAGTTTGTAAAACTCTAAAACCATTTAAATCAGGTCAAACGAGGTGGGTTTCTGAAGCAGCTGTCTACTGCACCGTCTGTGAGGAGAACTGTCACTATCCTGGATGTACAATGGGCTTAAGTCCAGAAATGTGTGAAGTCATGAAAAATGGAAGCTGTACTTCATGCAGCTACAAGTGTCCTGCATCAAAGCACAAGAAAGACAACCAGAAATATGTGATCAGAACCAGAAAAGTTGGAATCACTGAAAGAACAGTGTCACAGAAGTATGAACAGAATCTGGCAGTAGGTGAGAATAGGTCGGGTCTGTTGGAAAATCTACTAAAAGAAATAAAACATCTGTCAGCAGAGAAGATCCTCCTGTTGGACGAAGCCTATCAGCTTGCTGTTAAATTATATGAGACCAACACAGTGAAAGCAAACATTACTTCCACTCATGTCCTGCTGGACTTTCTGATCCAGAAGATGAAGGAGAGAGGAGACCAAGCAAAGGTGAAGAAACTGGAGGAGATGAACAACAAGATGGATGACAGAACCAGAGCAGTGCTGATAGAGAGGTAAGTCCAAACTAGGGAAAAAGAAAACTACCATAATTTGCAAGTAAATCAGTCCATTTATAAGATAATTTAGAAGTGATTCTCTGTGGGACCAAGTTTAACTGACATCAGAAACTAATCAGCAAATGAACATGAAACAAACTCAGAGTGTTTATATAATGTTTAAATGATTGACTTTCAATAATTAGATTTTATGTTTTCCAGGATGATACGAATCACATCTGATTATGACGACTTGATGTCAGACAGTTTTGATATCAGATCAGAGCTTCCTGCCGTCTACCAGCTGAGAACAAAGAAAGAGAAGTTTGGGACTCTGACCAGAGTCATTTATGGCCAGAAAGATGTGAAGAAGCCAAACAGAACCATCTTACTTGTTGGTGAATCAGGAACAGGAAAGTCTACTCTGATCAACGCTCTGGTCAACTACGCCATTGGGGTGAAGTTTGAGGATGAAGTCTGGTTTCAGATTGTAGAAGAAGAGAATAGAAGTCAGACAGAAAGCCAAACCTCAGATGTGATCGTCTATCAGATCTATGAAGGTCAAAATCTGCCGTTCTCTCTGAAAATCATAGATACTCCTGGGTTTGGAGACACCAGAGGGATTGAACATGATTTCAATATCAGTCAGAGATTGTTAGACTTGTTTCGATCAGAGGATGGAGTTCAGGAGATTCATGCAGTTGGTCTGTTGATGAAGGCAGCTGAGAACCGACTGAGTGACCGTCTGATGTACATCTTTGACTCAGTGATGGCTCTGTTTGGAAAAGACTTGGAGAAAAAGATCATAGCTCTGATCACTCACTCAGATGGAACAACACCTAGAAATGCTCTAAAAGCTGTTGAAATTGCAGATATTAAATGCACCAAAGATGAAAACAATCAGCCTGTTTATTTCCTGTTTAACAATCAACAGAAAACAGAAAGAGACACAGAAGAGAATACAACTGTTTTGAAGCATTCCTGGGATTTAACTGAAAAACAAATACAGAAATTCACCGCCTACTTAGACTCATCCCAACCTCAGACACTAGCAATAACTGTGGAGGTTCTGAAAGAGAGGATCAGACTGACCGCCTGCATCCAGAATCTGAAGGAGAGAGTTAAGCTGAGTGAACAGAAACAGAAAGAGATTAAACAGATCCAAGAAGCTTTAAAGAACCATGAAAAAGAGATGAAAAATAATGAGAACTTTACCATAGATGTTGATGTGACCTACAAAGACAAAGAACCAATTAGTGGTGGAATGTGGTGGACGATGCCTTTTTATGAAGCAGCTGTCTGTTGCACTCAATGTGAGGAGAACTGCCACTACCCTGGATGTACGATGGCTTGGTATGCTTGGCAATGTGTGGTCATGAAAGAAGGTCGCTGCACAGCTTGTACCAGAAAATGTCCTGCATCAGATCATGTGAAAGAGAAGTGGAAGTACGTGAACAAAACCAAGAAAGTTGAGAAGACTCTGGAAGACCTGAAGGAAAAGTATGAGAATAATAAAGCTGAATCTAAGAAAAAGTTGAGCCTTTTGGAAAATCTTGAAGAAGAATCCAGGAAGCTGTCTGCAGAAAGATCCAAGTACCTGGACGAAGCATATCAACATGTCATCAAACTGGAGCAGATCGCCCTCAATGTTGTATCAGTTTCCACTTTTGTCCACCTGGACTTTCTGATTGAGAAGATGGAGGAGAAAGGAGACGCCTTAAGGGCTGAGAAGCTGAAGAAGATGAAAAATGCTGTGGATGAGAAGGAAACAAGTCCAGTGCAACGTTGCATTCAATTCTTCTCATCTTGGGT